CAATTCCCTCCATCGGGACTCTTCCCTCCGCACTATCCCCTCTTTTTGGGGACTCTCCCACTCCCCGCCCCCCACCGAGAACCCCCGTTGCGGGGGGAGGCGCCCCCGCAAACGCTCCCTAAATTGGCCGGGGGGGGTCCCGTCTCACCCCGCAACGGGGCTCGGCTGGGCTCGGCTCGAGTGGGTTCGGCTCGGTTCGGCTCTGCTCGGCGGAGTTCGGCTCGGCTCGGCGGGGTTCGGCTCGGCGGGGCTCGGCTCATCTCGGCTGGGCTCGGCTGGGTCCCGCTTCCGGCCGCCCCGCCGCCATCTTTATGCGCCGCCCCCTCGGTTCCTCGGGAAATCGAGTCGGCGCCCCCGGGGTTACCGGTACCGGAATCTGCCACGGCATCGTGGGGACATCGCTACCATCGCCCGTGGGGGTGGCGGGACAAAGCCAAGGCGCTTTCACACCTCCACACGGCGGTGCAGGGGGAAGGGAGTGCGGGTTCCTTCCCCTCCGCCCTCACACAAAGGTCTGGTCGAAAGGGATTCTGTGGAGAAAAGGCTTCGTCACCTTTAAATGCACTTAAAGCTGAGGTGAAAAAAATTAGCAGGGCTTTCCAAGACATTCCCCCCACCTTCCTCCCAGCTGGCTCCTCCTTCGGGATTTTCTGAGGCAAAGGCAGGGTTTGCACGGCTCCAGATTAAAATGGTGAAGAATGGGATTAAGGGAGACACAGAGGGGAATTCCCACTTATCCCCCCAAAAGAGATACAGCCCCGATGTCGAGGGAGTAGTAGGATATCACGTTTTTTTCACTCTTTTTCTCCTTCTTCCTTTCTCTTGGGTGAGACCTGGAAGAAGAACATGCCCTTTTCCTTTGGGGAAGTCTGAGGAAAAGCTGAATCCTTGGAGATTTTGGTCATTTCTCCCACCCTGGCATGTCGAAAGGTGTCACCTTGTGCTGGTGTCACCGGCCATGTCCCAGCTGGGTGACTCCCAGCCTCTCCTCATCCCTCCCAGGGCTGTCCCAGCTCCAAAATCCCACTCCCCCCAGTGACCCCAGTGCCAACACTATTTCCCCCCCCCAGCTCCATGGTGCTCTGTGTTATGGTTTGAAGAACCCATAACAATTTATTGTCTTTTAGACAATTATTCTCTTACCCGATGACCTCTCCCCATCTGGGAAAGTGTAATTGGGGAAAAAGAAGGCAACCCCAGGGTTGAAATATAAACAAATTTAATAGAATAAGACTAGATAAATAACATCAATTGCCCAAAAGAGCCAATATTGATCCTGATAGCGATATAAAACACACGAGGACTATACTCAGCCCATTCTATCACAGCAGGGACAGCCAATGTGGGACACTGTGATTGCTGCAGATCCGGGAGGAAAACAAGGGCTCAGGGCACCGGGAGAAGGAGTTCTCAGGTTGGCAGCCATCGAGGGAGAGAGAAACTCCTCAGCAAACTTCTTAATTTCAATTGAATGTGACATTCATGGTGTGAAATAACCCTGTTGGGTCAAGCACCCGGGTCTTGCTTCTGGTTCCCGCAACTGACGAGCTGGAAAACACGGAGACCTTGAAACTTACGCAGCTGTTGCTGGCTGTAAATATTTTCACCAGTTCAGACACTGGAGCGCTTCTGGTCCCCGCAACTGACGAGCTGGAAAACACTGAGACCTTGAAACTTACACAGCTGTTGCTGGCTGTAAAGTAAATATTTTTGCCACTTCAGACACTGGAGTCTTCTAAAGGTGCAGTTTTCTCCAGCGTTAGAAGAGAAATTAATCGCTCAAACCAGGACACAGGGTTTGGCAAGAAGAAAGCTCATGTTGATGTTTCCTGTATGTCCCACTCCTCCTGCACCAGCTCGAGGCAGGGAGATGAATCGGGGCTTTGGCAAGAAGAAAGCTCATGTTGATGTTTCCTGCATGTCCCACTCCTCCTGCACCAGCTCGAGGCAGGGAGATGAATCGCAACCACCCTGCATCCAGCTGCATCCATGCTTCCAGCTCACTGCGTGGTAAAATTATAAAATAGAATGTTTTTTTGTTGAAAGGGACCTTTGGAGATCATCTAGTCCAACCCCGCTGCCATAGGCAGGAACATCTTCAACTAGACCAGGTTGCTCAGAGCCCCGTCCAACCTGACCTTGAAGACTCCCAATGATGGGGAATCCATCCGATGAGCCAGGGAAATGCAAAAGGCCAAGGAAGATATTCCAGGCGCCAGTGGGAGCATCCCGTGACCGTCGGCACCTAATTAAGGGTAACCCCTGTTTGGTTTGAGGAATTGCTGGGAGGCAGCAGTGCAGCCAGAGCTGCTGTGGCAGCAGCTGAATAACCGCGGTGCTGGATTTAAATATGGTAATTCTGGAGCTAATTACCAAAGCGATGTTAGGGCATGAGGGAAGATCACAGGGGAGAGGTGTAAACTTGCAGTGACTGCACGGGATGAAGCGGGACTCTCTTGTTAATGAAGTATCACCCAGGCTTTTGATATTATCAAGCAAGATCTTGTGAGTTCAGGATGAAAGCCTGGAGGAGACCCATTAGCTCAACTGGGCAGGTCTCCTGCGTGACACGAACCAGAGGACAGCCCAGGACCTTGCGGCAGGCAGGGTAAAGCTTGGATGGCTTGGGCAGATCCCATCACCGCCAAAGAACCACTGCTTCATCTGACGCATCGTTTTCATAACAAAGCTTCCTTGTGGGTGACCTCCAGCCCCACTCCCTGCTCTGCCCTCCCCATTTCTCCCAGGAAAGTGGGGCAGATGGATACCAGCTGCTGGGATGCAGCCCATCTGAGCGCGGAAGCCGCATCGTGACGATGCTGCATGGCTGCAGCCAAGCTCCAGGAGCCCAAGTGAGGAACACCAGCTCTAAGCATCCCTCTCCCGCTTGGATTTCAGGTCTGTGGCTCTTTTTTATGCTTTTTGGTAGCCGCTTTCCAAGTCACATCTTGCAATACAGCCTGTGTCTCCCTCCATGCATGATTTTGGCTGGCTTGTCCCCAGCCACCCAGCTCCCACCAGTGTCCACAGGGCTTGGGGGATTGCTCCTCACCAAGGGGTACAACCCCTTGGCAATGGGACAGTTGTCTAAAAGCATGGGACATTCTTGCAGAGGGGGAAGATGGGAATGGGAATGATGGCCACCGCTTCTCCTAGACCCCCTTGCTTTTGCTAATGATGGGGAGGTTTCTTCGCAAATCAAATACAAACCAGGAGCAGTTTGAACGGAAAATTTCTGACTTGGGGTGGGAGAAGAATGAATCGAACTCCTTGTGGATTCCTGGTTCATGGGATCGGGAGGACCTGCTGTGCGGTAACGTCCTTGCCATCATCACTGTGTGTTTGGTCCAGTCCTCTTGAAGGAGGGAGACAAGGGAAAAGGCCACTACGTGTGGCTGCAAGATGGGACTGCTCCATGGTGGGGTTTAGGGCTGCTGGCTGGGTGGCTGAGGGTACCGTTGGGAGCTAGACACTGGGAGAGGTGTCCTCCAACACATCCCTCCAGCTGCGTGCCTGGCTTGGGGTCTGGTAGGGATGAGGTGCTGGGAGCTGGGCAGGGAAGCAACCAAAGGGGCCTGGCCCCTGGCTTCCCCAGGGTGGGTGGGAGAGAGGCACGTTGCTGGTCCATCAATCCCCCTGGGTAGAGGGCAGTGAGCCTCCTCCCAGCGCTTCCTTCAACCCGTCTGAGCTGAGTGTGCCCAAAACGAGCAGATCTGGAGCAAGTTTGGGCTGAGACATCCTCTGAAGAATGAGGCAGACATCCCTCTGGGCCTGGCTGCTCAGGCACGTCGCAGGGCTGTGGGGAGGTGAGATCCAGCACCCATTTCGGTCCAAGGGTTGATGTCAAGCTGGCTGAACTCCAGGGTGAACAACTATCACTCTTAAGAGCAGGTGTTACTTGAATTTGTCTTCTATTGATTAGACTTGACTTTACAATGAGCTGAAATAAGCCCCTCAAGGCCAACAAAGCATGTCTGCAGGGGAGAGGTGCAATTTAGGCTAAATCACAGAATAAAAAGGCCAAACAGATCCAAACCCATTCCCCCTTCTTCTCTCCCAGCTCCGAGGCAGGTGATGTGTGGTTTTTGAATTAGAGAAGGGCTTTTTTCCTGGGCAAAAGCTTCGTCTTTGAAGCAAGGCCGACTCCAGCTGCGGCACGGAGCTCTCCAGCACTCCGGACTCCAGCTGCTTTGGAGATGTTCTCTTAATTTACTTTTGATGAATATTTCAGTGCTGCCAATAGCCCTGGAGACTGCGAGCTCCTGTCTCAGCCCAGAGCTCACCTGTTTTGCAGGCGCCTGTTATTTTTCCCTTACAGAGAGTGAAAAATAAGAACAACGAAGGAGAAGTAAAAGCGAGGGGCATTGGTGATCAGCGGTTTTGGGGGGACCAAAGGTCTTTGTTGGCAAAATTCTGGGTTTGAGTGCCCAAGGTGGGAGGCACAGAGGTGGGAGGGTGGCACAAGGGAATGTGCCCACCCCACCAGCTCCTTGGCCATGCAGACCCCGAGGAGCCCCATCTTCACAGCAGAGCAGGGTCACGGGCTTATTCCTTCACCTGGTCCCCTGTGCCCCACGCTGTGCCTTGGCACCCCACAGTGAGGAGACTGGTGACATCACAAAGGGGGCTTTCTGTGTCACCTCAGAGCAGAGGGGTGGTGGCTTAGGGTTCCCTGCAAAGGTGGTCCAGCAACCCTGCAGCTGGGAGGAACAGCAGTGAAGAGGAGATGGTGGCCTGGAGAACCCCCCAGGGGATCAGCTGGGGACCCCATAGCAAGGTGAGACGGTGGCCTGGGGACTTTCACATAGGTGGAATGGGCACCACACCAGGTGGCCAGTGCAACAAGGACGCCAACTTGGGTCTGCTGAGGACCCCACAGCAAGGGGACTGGTGACCTGGGCACCCTGCATGGGTTGCCCAAGCTCCTGGCAGCAAGGGGGGACGGGGACATGAGACCCCCACATGGGTGTCCCTGGCGCCCTGCAGCACAGGCAAGAAATGCGGGATATGTTGATGTATTTATTGATTGCAGATTTTGGGGGGATGTTATTTAATTTTCCTGTTGGGTGTGGTCTGCGGGTGTCTTGGTGCCCTCTGGCTTGTAAGGTTGTAGCTGGGGGAAAGGAGTGGTACAAGTGGGAGAAGAGGAAGAGGTGTATGAGGTGGGTTTCTAGGCAGTTTGTGATGGCCCTTCCCTGTTTGTTTGGTGCCTTGAGAGCAGGAGCTCTCGAGAGCAGGTCTGTATGCTAAGAATGGCCCAGAGGTGTGTCCTCTGTCCATGCCAGGGGTCTCAGGTTGTCACAGTTGGTGTAAACAGTGGTGACAGTAAGTGGTGAAACATCAGTGGGCTGTCATCAGCATTGTCATCCCAAATCCAAAACACAGCACTCTACCAGCTGCGCGTAAGAAAGTCAGCTGCATCCCAGCTGAAACCATGACCAGAGGGAATGAGGAGAGGGGAGTCAGAGTCTTCTCATGGGTGCCCAAGGTAGGACAATGGGAGATGGAGAAAGCTGAAAAGGCGTGCTCTTTCCTTCTAAGAGAAGGCAACCCTTTTTCATTGTGATGGTGGTCAAAGAGCAGAAAAAACCATTGCACATAGATGTGTTGGAGTCTCCTTCCTTGGAGATCCTGAAAACCTGCCTGGACATTGTTGTGGAGATGGTCTGCTTGAGCTGACCCCATTTTGGCAACCTGGAATCAAGCAGATAATCTCCAGAGGTACTTTCTGCCTTCCATCAATCTGCTTGCTGTGATTTTGCCTGCTGTGCTGGCCAAGGGGCTGTGCTGGGGGAGGAGGGTTGGTGAAGTGTGTGCTGCCTTGAGGACCATGTGTCAGAGGCTTGGATAGAAGTTCATTAGAATGTCCAAACCTTTGTCTGGGCAAGTGCAGGGCTTGTGACAAGCTCTGAAAGCTCCCCCTGTGCAACTCTGTGCTGTTGTTGTTACTGGGGACATAGTTCGTCAGAGAGGTCTTGTAGCTCTTTTCCACCCACCCTGATGGGCTCTGTAGCCCTGGCTTTGTGTTGGGTGAGTTTGGATGAGATTTGTAAAAAGAAAGGAAATGGAGGCGTCTGAGGCTGGGATGCAGGAGAACTTTATTGAGGGGAAAAGAATGCAAAGGCAGGAGCACTAGGAAAAACGGAGGCTATTTGAGTTTCAGGGAGGGTGACCATCTTCTGAGATCACTTGCATAAGGCAAATATTGCCAAACCACCAAGGTCTTCTGTTCTGCAGTGGGAGGGGAGCAGCTGAGGTCATTGGTGGGCTTTGAATGGTGAGAAGGTGTCTGCAGGGTAAAGTAATGGACAGACTGAAGGGATGCAAAGAAGGAAGTGGGAGATGAGGAAGAGGTACATGGGCAAAGCATTTACAGGCAACCCGGGCTGGTTCCCTTCCCTTCTTCCTTGGTTGGTGTCTTCAGAGGAGAAGCTCTAAAAAGGTAGGAGGAGCTTGGAGGTGTGTCTGCCATCCATGCCATGGCTTCTAGGGTGTCTCAGATGGTGGTGAGTTCCCTTAGCAGATGTTGCAGCCTCTTCCGCCATAGCATCCACCCAGGCCTCCCAAGCCGTAGCCAAAGCCGTAGCCAAAGCCACCGGAGGAGACGGGCACTCCCTGGGCGCTGAGTTCGTTGCCCACGGCAGCCGATGCGGAGGATCCGACGAAGGTGCTCTGGGGGTGGGAGGTGAGGATGGGTCCTGGCAGGGTGACCTGCACGGTGGGAGGCTGGATGACGACGCGGGAGGCCTCACACTGCCTGACACAGGGCTCGTTGCAGCTGTTGGCCAGCGGGGTGGGTCCGCAGGGGCGGCAGAGGTCGTAGCAGGCCATGTGTGTGGTGTGGAGGGTCCCTGGAAGAGAGGGGGGAATTGAGGAAGGGGAGGGGGCGGCGGGTGGTGGAGGAGAGGGGCGGTGTGGGTGAGGAGAAGGAGGGTGAGGGGGTTGAGGCTCACCTTGTTGAGGGTGGAGGAGAAGGCGTGAGGAGAAGTGTGTGAGGGAGAGAGGCGCTGGGCCGGCTTTTATGCTGGTCCGCGAGGGGCGGGACAGGCTTTGCGCATGTCCACGTTTGGCAGCAATGAGTCCTTCTGTGCCACAACCATTCAAGTCATGAGTTGGGGTGTGTTTTTATTACCACAACACTGGCTTTTCATACACTCCTCTTGAGGACGTGTCCACTTGGCTCTGGCGGGAGCTTTTAAGTGCCAGAATTAGAGTCCAAAGGCTTGGTGTTAAAGTTACTTGCAATGCCAAACAGAAGATGCGACCAAAGCTTAGAAGTGGGGTGTCATCAGTGAGGTCATCCCATGGCACTCGTGTGGTGTGGTTGGTGAGTGCGTGGTGAACAGGGGGCCTCATTTCCCGTCAGGCTGGTCTGGGCTTTGATGGTGGCGTTGAGCATGAGTGGCAGCTTCTGCCATGGCATTCAGTCCATCCCTGCCTTGATCCCTCCTCGTTGAGCCTGTCTTTAGGACTGCTTTTTACCCTTCCGTGTGCTCTGTGGGTATCTTGGTGTCCCTCTTTCATGTAAGGCTTTAATTTGGAGAAATGTTTGTCCGCCTGACCTTGGTGCCAGGGAAGATTGTGGAGCAGATCATCTTGAGTGCCCCATCACACGGCACGTACAGGACAACCAGCTGGTCAGTTCCAGTCAGCATGGCTTTAGGTAGGGCAGGTTCTGCCTGACTCCTGATCTCCTTCTGTGACCGGGGGACACTCTTAGTGAACGGATGAGTGAAAATTTAGGCTGTGTATGTTGTTAACCTGGACTTGACTAAAAGTTCTTGACATCATTTGCCACATCCTTCTGGAGGAACTGCCTGCTCATTACTATGAAGGGCATACTCTTTGCTGGCTCAAAAACTCTCTTGATGGCCGTGCCCATAGAGTTGTAGTGAATGGAGGTAAATTCAGGTTGTTGCTGGTCACCAGGGGTGTTCCCCAGGCCTGAGTACTGGGTCCAGTCCTTTTTAGTGTCTTTATCAACGGTATGGATGTGGGGATTGATTGCACCCTCAGTAAGTTTGGAGAGGACACCAAGGTTGGAGAGTGTGTTGGTCTGCTTGAGGGTAAAATGTCTGTCCAGAGGGATCTGGACAGGCTGGATCAATGCATCATGGGCAATGGTATGGGGATGAAAAATCTCAATGCTGCGTCTTGCACTTTGGACACAAATACTCCATGAACGCTACTGGCTAAGGGAAGTGTGGCCTCAAAGTTGCCTGACTGAGAAAACCCTGAGGTTGTTGGCCATCAGCCAACAGTTTGTGGGCTGTTTCAGTTGGTGGGTTGTCAAAGAGTGCAGGTGGGTGGTCAGAGAGGTGTTGGAAACTCCGTCCTTGGAGATACTGAAAACCTTACTGGGCAAGATCATGGAGAGCCTTCTTGAGCTGAGCCCACGTGAGCAGGTTCAGTTGAAGCAGGTGATCTCCAGAGGTTCCTTGGGCAGTCAATGATTCTTTTTGCTGTGATTGTTCCCGCTCTACTGGCCAGGGGGCTGTGCTAGGGGAAGAAAGTTGGTGAAGTGTGTGCTGCCCTGGGGAACTTGTGTCAGAGGCTTGCGTAGAAGTGCATTAGCATGTCCAAGTCTTTGGTCAAGTGCAGGGCTTGTGTCAGGTTCTGGAGGTCCTCCTGTGCTGCTGTGTGCTGTTGTTTCTTGTGGGGACATACTTCCTAAGAGAGGTCTTGTAACCCTTTTCCACACACCCCGATGGGCTCTGTAGCCCTGGCTTTGTGCCTTGTGAAGTTGGAAGAAACTCATGAGAAGAAAGAAATTGCAGGAGTCTAAGGTTTGGTTGCAGGAGAACTTTATTGAGGAAAAAGAGTGCAAAGGCAAGATGGCCAAGTGGAAGGGAGGCAGTCTGAGTTGCTGGTAGGGTGATCGTCATCCAAGGTACTTTCGAGAGAGAGTAGTGGACATAGGAGAAAGGGTGATAGAAGAAGAAGGTGGGACAATAGGAGGAGGTACGTTGTCCATGTTTCCAGGTATCCCACACCGGGCCCTTTCCTGCTTCCTTGCTTGGTGCCTGGAGCGAAGGAGCCATGGACAGTGAACCCATGTGCCAGAAAAGCCTGGAGGTGCATTGTTGATCCATGCCGTGGATTCCATGGTGCGAGTGGTTGGTGTCAGAGGTTGTGGGTGATGTCCTTAGCAGATGTTGCAGCCTCTTCCGCCATAGCATCCACCCAGGCCTCCCAAGCCGTAGCCGAAGCCGTAGCCAAAGCCACCGGAGGAGACGGGCACTCCCTGGGCGCTGAGTTCGTTGCCCACGGCAGCCGATGCGGAGGATCCGACGAAGGTGCTCTGGGGGTGGGAGGTGAGGATGGGTCCTGGCAGGGTGACCTGCACGGTGGGAGGCTGGATGACGACGCGGGAGGCCTCACACTGCCTGACACAGGGCTCGTTGCAGCTGTTGGCCAGCGGGGTGGGTCCGCAGGGGCGGCAGAGGTCGTAGCAGGCCATGTGTGTGGTGTGGAGGGTCCCTGGAAGAGAGGGGGGAATTGAGGAAGGGGAGGGGGCGGCGGGTGGTGGAGGAGAGGGGCGGTGTGGGTGAGGAGAAGGAGGGTGAGGGGGTTGAGGCTCACCTTGTTGAGGGTGGAGGAGAAGGCGTGAGGAGAAGTGTGTGAGGGAGAGAGGCGCTGGGCCGGCTTTTATGCTGGTCCGCGAGGGGCGGGACAGGCTTTGCGCATGTCCACGTTTGGCAGCAATGAGTCCTTCTGTGCCACAACCATTCAAGTCATGAGTTGGGGTGTGTTTTTATTACCACAACACTGGCTTTTCATACACTCCTCTTGAGGACGTGTCCACTTGGCTCTGGCGGGAGCTTTTAAGTGCCAGAATTAGAGTCCAAAGGCTTGGTGTTAAAGTTACTTGCAATGCCAAACAGAAGATGCGACCAAAGCTTAGAAGTGGGGTGTCATCAGTGAGGTCATCCCATGGCACTCGTGTGGTGTGGTTGGTGAGTGCGTGGTGAACAGGGGGCCTCATTTCCCGTCAGGCTGGTCTGGGCTTTAGTGAAGAGGGTCCTCATTTCCCGTCAGGCTGGTCTGGGCTTTGATGGTGGCGTTGAGCATGAGTGGCAGCTTCTGCCATGGCATTCAGTCCATCCCTGCCTTGATCCCTCCTCGTTGAGCCTGTCTTTAGGACTGCTTTTTACCCTTCCGTGTGCTCTGTGGGTATCTTGGTGTCCCTCTTTCATGTAAGGCTTTAATTTGGAGAAATGTTTGTCCGCCTGACCTTGGTGCCAGGGAAGATTGTGGAGCAGATCATCTTGAGTGCCCCATCACACGGCACGTACAGGACAACCAGCTGGTCAGTTCCAGTCAGCATGGCTTTAGGTAGGGCAGGTTCTGCCTGACTCCTGATCTCCTTCTGTGACCGGGGGACACTCTTAGTGAACGGATGAGTGAAAATTTAGGCTGTGTATGTTGTTAACCTGGACTTGACTAAAAGTTCTTGACATCATTTGCCACATCCTTCTGGAGGAACTGCCTGCTCATTACTATGAAGGGCATACTCTTTGCTGGCTCAAAAACTCTCTTGATGGCCGTGCCCATAGAGTTGTAGTGAATGGAGGTAAATTCAATTTGTTGCTGGTCACCAGTGGTGTTCCCCAGGCCTGAGTACTGGGTCCAGTCCTTTTTAGTGTCTTTATCAATGGTATGGATGTGGGGATTGATTGCACCCTCAGTAAGATTGGAGAGGACACCAAGGTTGGTGAGTGTGTTGGTCTGCTTGAGGGTAGAGTGTCTGTCCAGAGGGATTTGGACAGGCTGGATCAATGCATCATGGGCAATGGTATGGGGATGAAAAATCTCAATGCTGCGTCTTGCACTTTGGACACAAATACTCCATGAACACTACTGGGTAAGGGAAGTGTGGCCTCAAAGTTGCCTGACTGAGAAAACCCTGAGGTTGTTGGCCATCAGCCAACAGTTTGTGGGCTGTTTCAGTTGGTGGGTTGTCAAAGAGTGCAGGTGGGTGGTCAGAGAGGTGTTGGAAACTCCGTCCTTGGAGATACTGAAAACCTTACTGGGCAAGATCATGGAGAGCCTTCTTGAGCTGAGCCCACGTGAGCAGGTTCAGTTGAAGCAGGTGATCTCCAGAGGTTCCTTGGGCAGTCAATGATTCTTTTTGCTGTGATTGTTCCCGCTCTACTGGCCAGGGGGCTGTGCTGGGGGAAGAAAGTTGGTGAAGTGTGTGCTGCCCTGGGGAACTTGTGTCAGAGGCTTGCGTAGAAGTGCATTAGCATGTCCAAGTCTTTGGTCAAGTGCAGGGCTTGTGTCAGGTTCTGGAGGTCCTCCTGTGCTGCTGTGTGCTGTTGTTTCTTGTGGGGACATACTTCCTAAGAGAGGTCTTGTAACCCTTTTCCACACACCCCGATGGGCTCTGTAGCCCTGGCTTTGTGCCTTGTGAAGTTGGAAGAAACTCATGAGAAGAAAGAAATTGCAGGAGTCTAAGGTTTGGTTGCAGGAGAACTTTATTGAGGAAAAAGAGTGCAAAGGCAAGATGGCCAAGTGGAAGGGAGGCAGTCTGAGTTGCTGGTAGGGTGATCGTCATCCAAGGTACTTTCGAGAGAGAGTAGTGGACATAGGAGAAAGGGTGATAGAAGAAGAAGGTGGGACAATAGGAGGAGGTACGTTGTCCATGTTTCCAGGTATCCCACACCGGGCCCTTTCCTGCTTCCTTGCTTGGTGCCTGGAGCGAAGGAGCCATGGACAGTGAACCCATGTGCCAGAAAAGCCTGGAGGTGCATTGTTGATCCATGCCGTGGATTCCATGGTGCGAGTGGTTGGTGTCAGAGGTTGTGGGTGATGTCCTTAGCAGATGTTGCAGCCTCTTCCGCCATAGCATCCACCCAGGCCTCCCAAGCCGTAGCCGAAGCCGTAGCCAAAGCCACCGGAGGAGACGGGCACTCCCTGGGCGCTGAGTTCGTTGCCCACGGCAGCCGATGCGGAGGATCCGACGAAGGTGCTCTGGGGGTGGGAGGTGAGGATGGGTCCTGGCAGGGTGACCTGCACGGTGGGAGGCTGGATGACGACGCGGGAGGCCTCACACTGCCTGACACAGGGCTCGTTGCAGCTGTTGGCCAGCGGGGTGGGTCCGCAGGGGCGGCAGAGGTCGTAGCAGGCCATGTGTGTGGTGTGGAGGGTCCCTGGAAGAGAGGGTGTTGAGGAAGGGGAGGGTGTTGGAGGAGAGGGGCGGTGTGGGTGAGGAGAAGGAGGGTGAGGGGGTTGAGGCTCACCTTGTGGAGGGTGGAGGAGAAGGCGTGAGGAGAAGTGTGTGAGGGAGAGAGGCGCTGGGCCGGCTTTTATGCTGGTCCGCGAGGGGCGGGACAGGCTTTGCGCATGTCCACGTTTGGCAGCAATCAGCTCTTTCATACCACAGCCTGCTGAGCAATGAGGTGGGGTGTGTCTTTCTTCCAACTATTCTCCAGTTTCTTGTCATCCTTGTATGGACGCGTCCACTTGGGCATGTCGGCAGCTTTCAAGGGACTGTAGGTCTTTTGGAGTATTTGCATGGATGCCGTGTCAGGGCATTTGGCAGCTGCAGCCAAAGCGTAGGAGAGGTGGGGTGTCACCAGTGCAGTCATCCCATGGCACTGGTGTGGTGTGGTTTGTGGGTGCACTGTGAAGAGGGAGCCTCATTTTGTCCAAGCCCTGGCAGGCTGGTCTGGGCTTTGATGGTGTGATGCTCATGAGGTGGTGCTCCTTCCATCGCATTCGCTCTCCTCCTGCTTTGCTGAAAGCTCTCAAAGCCTATCTTTAGGCATGACCTGTCCTTTGGAGGTGTTTGGATGTTTGTCATCTTGGTCCTTCTGTTTCTTGTAAGGTTTGAATTTGGAGAAACGTCTGTCAGTCTGACCTTGGTGCCTGGAAAGCTTATGGAGCAGATCATCTTGAGTGCCATGGCATGGCACGTACAGGACAACCAAATGGTCCCAGTCAGCAGGGCTTTAGGAAGGGTAAGTCCTGCCAGACCAACCTAATCTGCTTCTTCATAAGGAGACCCGCTTAGTGGATGGATGAGGGAAAGGCTGTGGATGTTGTGAACCTGGACTTCAGTAAATCTCTTGACACCGTTTCCCATAGTATTCTCCTGAAGAAACTGCCTGCTCGTGGCTCTGGCTCGTGTACTCTTTGCTGGACATAAAGTTGGCCTCATGGCCGTGCCAGTAGATTTGTGGTGAATGGAGTTAAATCCAATTCGTTGGCTGTTTAGTGTGGTGCTCCCCAAGGCTGAGTACTGGGGCCAGTTTGCTTAATGTCTTTGTCAAGTATCTGGCCTTAGGGATTGAGCGCATCCTCAGTAAGTTTGCAGAGGACACCAAAGCTGGTGTGTTGGTCTGCTTGAGGGTAGGATGTCTCTTCAGAGAGATATGGACAGGCTGGATTGATGGGCTGAGGTCATTGTTATGAGGTTCCAAACCGCTCACTGCTGGGTCTTGCAGTTGCATCACAACAACCCCATGAACCCTCCAGGCTTGCGGAAGAGTGGCTGGAAAGCTGCCCAGGGATGTGGTTGAGTCACCATCCCTGGAGGTATGTAGAAAGGAGTAGTCTTGGCCCTGAGGGGCTCAGTGTAGCGGTGGACTTGTCAGTGACAGTTTCAGGGTTGGACTGGATCTTAAGTGACTTTCCAAACCTCAAGGATTCTGGGAGTTCGTGAAGACCATGGACGTAATGGAGCAAGTTGACTGAGAGAAACCAAGATGCTGAACAGATCCTCAGAGGAGAAGCTGAGAGAGCTGGGAGGTTTTTCAGCCAGGAGGGAAGGCTGCGGCAGGAAGAAGTCTTCAACATCTCTAAATCCTGCATGGGAGGTGTCATGGTTTAACACCAGCTTTCAACTAGGACCACACAGCTGCTCATTTATTCCCCTCATGGCAGGAGGGAGAGATACTCCATCCTTAATGATACCAAAAACTTGTGTGGACATCATGAGCCTATTTGAGCAGGTAGGGTTGACATCCATGATGTCCAGATCTTCTTTATGCAGTCACTGATTCCATTTGCTGTGATTCTGCCTGCTGCACTGCCAGGGGTTGTTGATGGGAAAGAGAGGTGAAGTGTGTGCTGGCCTGGGGAGCTTGTGTCAGAGGCTTGGATCGAAGTGCGTTAGCATGTCCAAGTCTTTGGGCAAGTGCAGGGCTTGTGTCAGGTCCTAGAAGCACCTCTGTGCTGCTCTGTGCTGATTTCTTTGGTGGGGATGTACTTCCTCAGAGAGGTCTTGTAGCCCTTTTCCACCCACCCCCATGGGCTCTGTAACCCTGCCTTTGTGCGTGGTGAACTTGGAAGAAACTCATGAGAAGAAAGATATTGAAGACGTCTAAGGTTTGGATGCAGGAGAACTTTATTGAGGAAAAAGAGTGCAAAGGCAGGATGGCCAAGTGGAAGGGAGCCCGTCTGAGTTGCAGGTAGGGTGACCATCATCCGAGGTTCCTTGTGAGAGACAGATCTTGC